AATTTGGGGGTCTGTCAGCCTTATTGCATGTAAAGACTGATTCCTGGCGAGGTGGGCATCATTGAGATCTCTTGCAGACTATGAAGGTGATGTCAGCATGTGGCAGGTAGTGCATCAGAGCATGGATGTGACACGTAGAGGTCATCATTGCAGCCTAGCCTGGAAGTCTCCAGCTGTAATGGTTCCTTGTCGCATCAGATAAAGACTGCCTAGGCTGGGAGAGTGTAATTATCCTGGTGCAATGACATTCTCACAGTAAATTAATTCTGCATAGTTCTGTTTTGAAATTTTATCCAGACCCACTAATGAATTCCAATACACAGACTTCTTTGAACTTAAAGGACAACCATGGTGATGATGATGATGATGATGATGATGATGTGTGCATACACTTAAATATTAGAATCGATTCTTGTCTGAATCTTTTTTTTTTTTTTTAAATGGTTTTGTAATTGTTTAAATTGGTTCAACCAGACTAATTTCCTTCTTATTGTATTTTGGTCTACATAATTTCACAATGGACAGAAAATGTCAGTAACAAGGTCGATTTCAGGAAAATAGTATTTATAAAAGAGGAAGAAACATATGGATGGTATAACAGGGACAAAGAGGAATGGTAAAATGTTAGAAGTAACTTTAAGCAACAAAAAACAGGAAATTGTGGAGGGCCGTGTTTACACATTTCCTGAAGATACATGGCATAAAAAAAGGGGAAAAAGCATATGGATGGCAGAACAGGGACAAAGAGGAATAGTAAAATGTTAGCAGTTACTTTGAGTAACAAAAAAGGAAGTTGTGGAGAGCCGTGTTTACACGTTTCCTGAAGATACATGGCATAAAAAGGGGGAAGGAGCATATGGATGGCAGAACAGGGACAAACAGGAATAGCAAAATGTTAGCAGTTACTTTGAGCAACAAAAAAGGAAGTTGTGGAGAGCCGTGTTTACACATTTCCTGAAGAGATATGGCGCATAAAAGAAGAAGCATATGGATGGCAGAACAAGAACAAAGAGGGATGGTGTGGAGTTAATAGTTACTTAGAGCAACAAAAGATAGGGTAGTTGTGGAGAGCCATGATCACCCAGGTCCTCAAGAGATATGGCACATAACAGAAGAAAAAGTATAAGGATGGCAGAACAAGGACAAAAAGGGATGGTAAAGAGTTAAAGTTACCTAGAGCAACATAGGGCAAGAAGTTGTGGAGAGTCATGATTATGCATGTCCTGAAGAGACAGGATACAAAACTGAGAAGAAGCATAAGGATGGCAGAAAACGGACAAAGACGAATGGTTATGCGTAAAGAATTACTTAGAGCAACAAAAGGCAGGAAGTTGTGGAGAGTCATAACCATGCACATCCTGTAGAGACATGGCACCTTAAAGCAGAAAAATCATATGGATGGCAGAAAAAGAACAAAGAGAGATTGTAAAGTGTGAAAAGTTACTTAGATGAACAAAAGAGAAGAAGTTGGGGAGAGCCATGATCACTCATCTCCAGAAGGGTTAATATGCATAAAAACAGAAGAATACCACAACATTAATGTTTCTCTTTCTTCTGAGTTTATTTTTTAAATAATGATTGTATAAAATCTGGGGGGGGGGTGTTATTCACCCACTTTCGAAGTACACACACACACACACACACACACACACACACACACACACACAGGCATTTTTTGGTGAGAACCAAGACTGCAAAATGAACATACTTAACTGTGAATCGATGTGTATGTGTGCTTTTTGTGCACAATATATTAGAATCGATTCTTGTTCCAAATTTGTTTATAAAATGTGGTTTTTTAATTGTTTAAATTAGTTCGACTAGACTAATTTCCGTATTATTGTATTTTTACTCTATGTAATACCACAATAGACAGAAAATGTCATTAACAAGGATGTTTTCAGGAAAATACGAACAACCAGGAAATTATACTCATAGTCAGAAAGAGGCAGTTGAAAATTCTGGGACACATAATGAGGAAAGAGGGCTTGGAGAATTTGACACTCACAGGACATAATGAAAGCAAGAGAGGTTTGTGCGAATCGCATAGTAAAGAGCCAAATGTTATTTAGAGCAACAAAAGAAAGGAAACTGTGGATACCCGTGATTGCTCACATCCAGAAGGATCACTATACATAAAAGAAGGAGCATATGGATGGCAGAACAGGGACAAAGAGGAATAGTAAAATGTTAGCAGTTACTTTGAGTAACAAAAAAGGAAGTTGTGGAGAGCCGTGTTTATACGTTTCCTGAAGATACATGGCATAAAAAAAGGGGGAAGGAGCATATGGATGGCAGAATAGGGACAAAGAGGAATAGTAAAATGTTAGCAGTTACTTTGAGTAACAAAAAAGGAAGTTGTGGAGAGCCGTGTTTACACGTTTCCTGAAGATACATGGCATAAAAAGGGGGAAGGAGCATATGGATGGCAGAACAGGGACAAACAGGAATAGCAAAATGTTAGCAGTTACTTTGAGCAACAAAAAAGGAAGTTGTGGAGAGCCGTGTTTACACATTTCCTGAAGAGATATGGCACATAAAAGAAGAAGCATGTGGATGTCAGAACAAGGGCAAAGAGGGATGGTGTGAAGTTAAAAGTTATTTAGAGCAACAAAAGATAGGGTAGTTGTGGAGAGCCATGATCACCTAGATCCTCAAGAGATATGTCACGTAACAAGAAAAAGTATAAGGCTGGCAGAACAAGGACAAAAAGGAATGCCACAATATTCATGTTTCTTGCTAGCATGATTTTTTAAGTAATGGTGGCGTAAAATCATGGAAGAACTTTATTCTTACACTGTATACCGACATTACAGAATTTTTAAGAACTGTACCAAATAACAGAAACCACATCCCTTGGAGAATACCAACAGCAGTAACAAAACAATGATTCAAGAATCAGTTGAAAACACCCCTGACAAAGGCAACATCAAATCTGGGAAACTGTTGCTACAAATTTTCTTTCCAAGTGTAGGACCATCTGAGTGGTCTTGATCGACATTCAAGATCAACTGTCAACATGAAGAAGGATCTGTAACGTGCATGTCAGGAGGGCCTGACTAGCCCAGCTCTGTCTACCATCTACACTCCTCTGTGACTCCTGCTCTTCAGGAGTAGGCTGAGCCTTCACAGTCATCTCCATCAGCATCACCAGAGGGGAGAAAGGGAATAAAGAGAGAGTATGATGATCCTGATGTGAGTAGGTATTGACAACCAACAGCAGCAACAACTAAAATGGATAGCACAGGTAACTTGAAGAGACAGTAATGACATAATCAAAGTGTTGACATTTCACACTCCTCCAAAGAGAAGGTTAAGCAAGAGACGTCTATCATTACTGGAAAGAGCAATAACAGCTATCACTTGGGTAAAAAGAAAAAAAAAAAAACTATGAAAGTGTAAGAATAGGTTTTAATACAAGCAATACTTTTTGTAAAAAATTATTACTAGCAATGAATTTTTGAAGGAAAAAAATATTACCAGCAATACATTTTTGAAAGACAAATATTTCCAGCATTACATTTTTGGAAAAAAATATTACCAGCAATACTTTTCTGAAAAAAAAAATATTACCAGCAATACATTTTTTGCAAAGAAAAAATTTTTTGAAAAAAAAATTAACAGCAATACATTTTTGAAAGACAAATATTTTCAGCATCACATTTTTGGAAAAAAATATTACCAGAAATACTTTTCTGAAAAAAAAAATATTACCAGCAATACATTTTTTGAAAAAAAATATTACCAGCAATAAGTTTTGAAAAAAAAATGTTAACAGCAATACATTTTTGAAAAAAAAATATTACCAGCAATACTTTTTTGAAAAAAAATATTACCATCAATACATTTTTAGCAAAGAAAAATATTACCAGCAATACATTTTTGAAAAAAAATATTACCAGCAATATTTTTTTGAAAAAAAAATGTTAACAGCAATACTTTTTTGAAAAAAGAATATTGCCAGCAATATGTTTTTGAAAAAAAAAATATTGCCAGCAATACTTTTTGAACAAAAATATTACCAGCAATAAAAATTTTCTTAGCATTAAATAATCCATTGAGGTGTTCATATGCCATAAAACAAATGAAACCAAAGCAATAACTCCTACTGGACTTGAGAGACCTGTTTTCTGAAAAATGTGTTTTTATCTTTATCACTCTGCAATATTCTGTAATATTATTTCAATCGGGTATAAGTGGCCAGACAACTGCAATAACATCCTCTTCGATTTTCAGTTACTTGTTTTCCTGTTGCCATAGTAGGATATGGCAACACTAGTAAAAAATTCAACCACATTATTGTCTGATGATCAAAGTTGCATGCAGTGACTGTGCAAATATTTTGCTTGACAAATGAAGTCATCTATATACAGAGTGTTGAAGGTTAAGAGAAAGATTTTATAAATTTCAACCAAAAGCAGTAATGGCTGCTCGGTCAGTGAATGCTAAATGTTCCTTGAAGAAAAAGATTTTAGACATTTAAACTAACAGTGATGCTAACTGCTCTGTCAAAAAATGATGAATGTTTCTTTATAAGGATATCATTACCAAGTGAAATTCATTAACTTTTTTCACAACCCTGTTTAGAAATATCTAAACTGTCAGCTGTATACAACTTCTTTCTAAGATCAATGTTGAAAAATAGCATGGAAATCCTGGGGATCTTGGCAAACATCATCCCTCTTTGAACCTTGTGGACTGGCGCTAAAAAATCACAGTCAAAGAACTGTAGCAAATAAGAGAAACTGAATCACTTGAGGATGGAAATGTTAGGCATGGTCGATTAATGGATAACGGCACAGATCAAATTCATGACATTCACTTATGTGCTAAGATCCTTAGGTAAAGGTGTAAATCCATCTCTTCTCCTCCTCACCAGCTATGGGTAAATAGCAAGAGAGACTGCATTTCAGAAAATTTGAGTGTTGACTGGTCTATGAGAAGTATAACTCTGAATTCAAAACCTGATATTTGACTGCACAGAACATAGTCCATAGTCTTCAGTTGTCAGTCAAGAGCATAGGATAGATAGATAGATAGATAGATAGATAGATAGATAGATAGATAGATAGATAGATAATAAACATACTAAGATAGATATGAAGACAGAGATAGATAGATAGATAATAAACATACTAAGATAGATATGAAGACAGAGATAGATAGATAGATAATAAACATACTAAGATAGATATGAAGATAGAGAGATAGACTGAGATAGATAGATAGATAGATAGATATGAACAGACTGAGATAGATAGATAGATAGAACAGACTGAGATAGATAGATAGATAGATATGAACAGACTGAGATAGATAGATAGATAGATAGATAGATAGAACAGATGAGATAGATAGATAGATAGATATGAACAGACTGAGATAGATAGATAGATAGATAGATATGAACAGACTGAGATAGATAGATAGATAGATAGATTTGAACAGACTGAGATAGATAGATAGATAGATAGATAGATAGATAGATAGATTGATAGATAGATAGATAGATAGATATAAACAGACTGAGATAGATAGATAGATAGATAGAAAGAACTTGACTGTGGTAGATAGATAGCACTAGACTGTGGTAGATAGGTAGATAGAACTAGATTTTGGTAGATAGATAGGTAGGTAGATAGATAACAGACTGAGTTACATAGATAGATGGATAGATAGATAACAAACTGAGTTACATACATAGATAGATAACAGACTGCGTTACATAGATAGATAGATAGATAGATAGATAGATAGATAACAGACTGCATTACATAGAAAGATAGATAACAGACTGCGTTATATAGATAGATAACAGACTGCATTACAAAGATAGAAAGATAGATAACAGACTGCGTTACATAGATAGATAGATAGATAGATAGATAGATAGATAGATAACAGACTGCAATAGATAGAAACAATGTAGACCTAAAACTCAACACTGCATGGTGATTATCAGGTTCATGCCTAAAACAAGAACCAGAATATTCTTATTATTGATGCACTTTAGAATATGTAAAAATCTATTTTGGGCATACTTTCTTTTCAGACCTCCTGCGTCCAACCACACATAACTGTGCACCTTTTATGCTGCAGACATTAAGCTTTCTTTTTGTTACCCTTACTCTATTATGACAACACTAAAAATAGAATCAAGCATTTCTTTACTTGCAACTCACATTTATATGTGAACATTATTATGAATTTCAGTTTATATTTTCCTTGTTTTGAAATATAATCCTATTTTTTTTTTGCTGCATACCAAATTTCCTCTCATGGCAAACCAGAGTGTCCCAATGCATGATTTAGAAAATACTGCCTTTTTAAATCATCAGGCCACTGATGATTGCTTATGGTGTGAAGCTGCCAGTCACCATGCATTGTTGATTTCTATGTCCACAGTTGATTTGTACAACTATCCCGAAATCAAAAATTTTGTCAGCTATGATTTTCAAAAATTTAAATGCAACATCAAACACCATTTTCAATCGATTGAAAATTAAACAGTACTAGGGATTTTAATTTAATTCTATAATTAAATTTAAAGTTTTAGTATCTGCTTTCAAAACTTGGTCATTCCTGTGTAGTGATTAGACCATATTTTTAAATTAGTAAATTTTATATATATATATATATATATATATATATATATATATATATATCAGAAACAGTTTGAAAAATCCTGCAAATTTTAAAATTAAAATTCGTAGGTGAAAATGGTATTTTACTAAAAGTGTCTTAATTCCAATTGTAAAGAAAATTTGCCCTGTTTATTGAAAAAAGCACTCTTTTGTGAGTCAGATTTAACATATCTCAAATTCAACGTTGTGTTAATAGGGCTCGCCTGGATTATACCAAGTGATTACTACCTATATATATATATTTTTTTTTTTTTTTTTTTTTTTTAAGCATTTCACCCCAAGCAAGGCGGAGAGCCACTAGGATGCAAGGGGTTACAGAAAATAGGAAGATCAGATAGGAGTGATAGAAGAAAGGATGAGGGTAGTAGATAGATTAAGGCAACTGGAGATGTCGATTGACATTACACTTGAATAGCTGGAGATTATAACTCTCAGGGAAACAGGAGAAGGGAAGAGAGTTCCACAGGCGAGAGGTGCGAGACATGAAGCTATTAGAGTAGTAGAGACGGCTACATTTATGAGTTTCGACAGTGAAGGGGTGAGAGCGGGATGCCAGCCTCGTAGGGCGCTTTTGAACTCATGAAGTTTGGGAACCAGCGAATGCAGTTCCTCGGAGCAATTTCCATGAAAGTATTTGTAGAACAGACAGAGGGAGGCGACGGTGCGTCTGTGAGAAAGTGACTGTAGACGAGACGCCAGGGTGGGGCCAACCATATTACATATCCGCCTCTGGAGCCTATCAAGAACCCCGAGGCAAACAGAAGGGGCGCCAGACCATATATGGCAGCAATACTCCATGCAAGGGCAAATTGTGGATTTGTATATCTGGAGGATCGACTCAGGGAGAAAAAACTTCCTAGCACGGCTCAGGGAGCCAACTTTCCTCGCAGTGGACGAGGCAATTGATTTCGATGTATTTATTCCATCTCAGGTCAGCAGTCAACGTGAGACCGAGAAGCCGCAGAGAGTTGTTGCTCGGGGAAGTTGAGCGTCAGACATTATAATGGAGGGAAGGGAAGGCTCTGTGGTGATTAATAGAGAGCAGTTTAGTCTTCAAGCGTTGAAGTTGACCAGCCAAATCTTGCCCCAGTTCACAATCGATTGGAGGTCCTTTTCGAGTGCACGGCAAGGTGAGTTTTGTCAGCGAGACTGGATTTGTTTTTGAGGCAGGAATAAATTGTGGTGTCATCCGCGTAGATGCCGACTTGAGAAGTTCTGAGTCAGGAAGGTCATTTATAGATAAGGAAAGAGTGGGGCCTAGGATGGAGCCTTGAGGAACTCCTGCGTTCGTGGGGTAGGAACTGGAGGAGAATCCATTGTGAACGACCTTCAATTCCACGGGTTTGACAGGAATGATTGTATTCGTTATATAATTGACCCGTAATGCCATAACCCTGGATCTTATGGGAGAAGGCCGGCGTGCCAAACCCTATCAAATGCTTTGGATATATATATATATATATATATATATATATATATATACTCGACTCTCCTGTTGAATTTGACATGTGAGGGTCAAGCAGATCAGTTTCCAGGAAATCAACAGTCCGACAACAGCACATGAGATTTTATTATAGTGGTGAAGGTTTCGTGCAGGACCATCCACACTTTTTGAAGGGCCGAATATAGAGAACTGGTGCACTACGTGCCACAAGGTCCCCAAACGACATTCTGCTGGTTTTGAATTCAGAGTTGTCCTTCTCCTAGACCAGTTGTAATCTAAGGTTATAGAACCGAGTCTGTCCAACTATTTACCCATAGCTGGAAGGTGAAGATTTACCCATAACTGGAAGGAGAAGAAGAGGATTCACACCTTTCCCAAGGGTATTAGAACGTAAGTGAATGTAATGGATTCAACTGGAATTTGAACTCGTCTCTCCAATTCCTCAATCCAAGCCACTATCCATTATTCCACCGTAATATATATATATATATATATATATATAAATAAATAAAAATGTGTGTCTGTGTGTATGATTTAAATTTGGATGAGAATCCAATGGAATGGTTAGTGTATCAGACTATTTGGAAAACTTTTATCATGGCACGTTTCACCAATCAAACAGCATCAACAAAATCCATTTTTCTGATGATGCTGTTTGATCAACAAGACATGTCCAAAATTAAAAACAAATTGTCTTAATTTTTCTCATCCGAATCTATCTTACATATTTATTAGTCTACCATTTGTCTATGCTTTGAATATTGCTGCCACATCTGGTCTAGAACTTCTACTATATATTTAGAGATTCTTGATAAAATCCAAAGAAGTATCTGCAATGTTATTAGTCCTGACCTGGTATCTTGGTTTCAGTCACTTTCTCACCATAATGTAGCTTCCCTGTGCCCTTTCTATAAATACTTTCATGGTAATTTCCTCTATGGAGCCAAGACTCTCTGAATTTAAGAGCCTAATTGGCATCAACGTCTCATCATTTTCCAGTTGAAATGGCTAAATGTAACTGTAAGTTCTATGCTAAGAGTTTCTTGCACTTCTCGCTTGTGGAACTCTATTCCAGCTTCTTTCTTCCCAGTCCAGTTTGATCTTCAAAAATTTAAATGCAATGTCAATTGTTATCTTCTGTTCTTTTTAATTTCTGTTTTCACTCCTTAATAATGGTTTTCTTTTTCTCATATTCTTTCACACTTATTAACCCCTTTATTGCCTTGCTTGGAATTGGTGAAATAATATATATATACACTACAGTTCAAAAGATTGAGGATACTCCTGGTAATTTTTTAAACTGGCCCCAGTTTTGTACTTTAAATAAGAAAAAATTATTATACATGGTTAAAAAAAATTGAGAGATGATTTTTAATTGGAAATTTTATTATGACAAAAAGGAAGAAAAGCATTTTATGATTAAATTTTGCTCTCATCAAAATATCCTCCTTTAGCCTTGATTACTGCAGCACAAATTTTTGGCATTCATTGCAAAAGTTTCTCAAAGTAAAAGTTTGATAATTGATTCCATTCTTTTTTCAATGACTCTAAGAAATCTTTTTCATTTTTTTCAGTCTTCTGTCAAGTTCATCCAATGCTAATTCTGGGGGTGACTTCAAATTTTTGAACTGTATTGTATATATATTATATTAATTGGGAACCTGTTTTGCAAAAAATTCCAAAGCTACAATGGATAAATTCAAAATTTTTAAATAATGTTCATGTATATTTTTTTAAAAATAACTATTACAAGGAAATGCAGATTTTACCCCAATTACAATAAGTTTGTCTTCGATATTGACCCCTGAAGATGATCTCAGAGGAGTTTGAAAGTACTTGGGTTGGAAAAAACTATGGCATCTTCCTTGATGAATTTCATCTTAACATCAAGAAACTGATTAGGGAACTGGAAAGGATCAGTATAAAAATAAATAGACATAATATGTCTATATTGTCTAATGAAACATGTTTGAATGAAGATATGATGTCTAAATATACATATCTTTTCTGCTCATGTAAAGGACCTTCAATCAGTGGTTAACTGGGGCAGGAAATGGCTTGTAAATTTTAATGCCACCAAAACAAAACTGCTCTCATTTAACCACTACAGAGTAACTTTCCTGCCTACCATCAACATGGCTGATGCTAAACTCCTTCTTGGTCTCACGTTTTCTACTGACTTAAAGCAGAGCAACAACATTGAATCAATAGCTGCATCTGCTGCAAGGAAAGTTGGGTCACTGTGCCATGCTAGAAAATTCCAGAGTCCATCTTGCACATTTACAAATCTACCATTCATCCGTGCATTGAATACTGCTGCTATATCTGGTCCGGTGCTCCTGCTATTCATTTCAAAGTTCTTGACAGAATCCAAAGAAGGATCTGCAATGTAATCAATCCTGACTTGGCATCTTGACTTCAGTCACTTTCTCACCGATGTGACATGGCTTTTCTACAAATATTTTCATGGCAACTACTCTAACAAGCTTTTTTACACTGAATTCGAGTGTGCTACTAGATTGGCAACTAGGCCCCACCCTTTTGCTGTTGAAATAGTTAAATGCAACCACAACTACTATCTACAACTGTCTACTGCATAGAGACTGTGATATTGAGTTTTTCTGTGTAGCATGTGGGTTACCTCCACTTGGTATTGCTAGAATCACCAAGACACTGTTAGATGGCACTATTAAACAGCTATAAAATACCATTATTCCTTTTTTTTTTTACTCCTGTTGTGACAACATCAACAAAAGATTCATCCCCAGCATGAAGATATCATTTTTAAAATGACTGCAGTTCATAAATTTTATTTTTAATGCTTTCTTTCTCTTCAGTTGTACTTGCATGTTCTTCACTAGTGTATTTTGTCTTCTATTTATCAGTTGTTATATAAAAAGTCAAAAAAAATATCTCTACTACATTTCAATTCCAAAGTTTCCCAAACTGAGCGCCACAAATTCTTAAAGGAAAACTGAGTAGGAAGAGCAGTGCGTTTTTTTAAATTACCAAAAATCAGGAAATTATCCAATTTAAATAAAAATTTCAGAACATATTCATTATTTACTTTTATAATGAATAAGTATTTTTTTTTAAATCTGAGAAAATGTTATTTCTTTTGTAATAAACACCAATATTTTCATGACAAAGTTTTACTTCAAAAATGTCTTTAAATTGCAAATTTTTACATTTCCATAAAGATTAATCACTAGTACAG